ACAATTCCTTCATTGAGACTTCTGTCAAGTACAGCGTGGACGATGGAGCGACGTGGAACACCCAAATTGCGATCAAGAACAGCCGCGCATCGTCCGTTTCCCGTGTGATGGACGCCACAGTGATCGTGAAGGGGAACAAGCTGTACGTCCTGGTGGGAAGCGTCAATAAGACACGAAACTCCTGGACGCAGCACCGTGATGGGAGCGACTGGGAACCGCTTCTCGTCGTTGGTGAGGTCAAGAAGTCCGCTGTGAACGGCAAGACAACCGCAACTATCAGTTGGGGGAAGCCTGTGTCTCTGAAGCCAATGTTTCCAGCAGAGTTTGAAGGAATCCTCACGAAGGAGTTCCTTGGCGGTGTGGGCGCTGCCATAGTGGCGTCCAATGGGAACCTTGTTTATCCTGTGCAAATTGCGGACATGAGGGGACGAGTTTTCACCAAGATCATGTACTCAGAGGACGATGGCACCACGTGGAAGTTTGCGGAGGGCAGGAGCAAGTTTGGCTGCTCTGAACCTGCAGTCCTCGAGTGGGAAGGGAAACTCATCATAAACAATCGTGTTGACGGGAACCGTCGCTTGGTGTACGAGTCGAGCGACATGGGGAAGACGTGGGTGGAGGCTCTCGGTACACTGTCGCACGTGTGGACCAACTCACCAACATCGAACCAGCAGGACTGTCAGAGCAGCTTTGTTGCTGTGACGATCGAAGGGAAGCGTGTGATGCTCTTCACCCACCCGCTGAACCTCAAGGGGCGATGGATGCGCGACCGCCTGCACCTTTGGATGACGGACAATCAGCGCATTTTTGACGTTGGGCAAATATCCATTGGCGATGAAAATTCTGGCTACAGCTCTGTCCTGTACAAGGATGATAAGCTGTATTCTCTGCACGAGATCAACACCAACGACGTGTACAGCCTTGTCTTTGTGCGCTTGGTTGGCGAGGTGCAGCTCATGAAGTCCGTGGTTCGGACCTGGAAGGAGGAGGACAACCACCTCTCCAGCATTTGCACCCCTGTTGTTCCTGCCACTCCGCCGTCAGAGGGCGGCTGTGGCGCCGCTGTTCCCACCGCAGGCCTTGTTGGCTTTTTGTCTCACCGTGCCAATGGGAGCGTCTGGGAGGACGTGTACCGCTGCGTCAACGCAAACGTGACCAATGCGGAGGGGGTTCCCAACGGTTTGAAGTTCAATGGGGTCGGTGGAGGGGCGGTTTGGCCGGTGGCTCGGCAGGGGCAGACCCGACGGTACCAGTTCGCAAACTACCGGTTCACGTTGGTGGCGACGGTAACGATTGACGCGCTTCCGAAGGACGCGAGCCCTGTGCTGGGGGCGGGCCTGGAAGGCCCCGGCGACACCAAACTCCTGGGGCTGTCGTACGACAAGAATCGCCAGTGGCAGCCACTGTACGGAGCAGCGCCGGTGTCGCCGACAGGATCGTGGGAACTGCACAAGAAGTACCACGTGGTTCTTACGATGGCGGACAGGCAGGGCTCTGTGTACGTTGATGGCCGGCCTCTGGCGGGTTCGGGGAATACCGTCGTGCGGGGCGCGACATTGCCCGACATCTCCCACTTCTACATTGGCGGGCCTCAGAGTAATGGTGCACCCACGGACAGCCGTGTGGCGGTGACCAACGTTCTTCTTTACAACCGTCAGCTGAGCGCCAGCAAAATCAGGACCCTGTTCTTGAGCCAAGACATGATTGGCACGAATGGCGACGCTGGCAATGTCGCTTAGAGCTCTGAAGATCGGACTCGTGGCGACGGTGCTGCGTTGCCGGTGTTTGCTGTTAGAACATGCCATTGGTAGGTGTATGCTCTGGTGCTGCATTAGTTTATCCTTGTGATTACTGTTTGACCTAGCGAACGAGACATGTCCTATATGTGGTTTGGATATTTTGCGTTTTTCAAAGGTGTGTGTGTGTGCCACCAGAAAATCAAGTATTTTTTACTGTCTTTTTTTTTCTTTGATATGTTTGGTTTTGACGCTTTTTTTCTTGAGCTTTTGTGTCTCAGCGCCAGCTGTGCATCGTTATACAGGCAGGAGCTGTGATTCCCCACAATGTGGCTCACTTAACACTGCAGGTGATTGCTACAATGATGATTCGTATGTGTATTTCACTGGGTGT